TCTACTAATAGTATTTGTGCCTATTGCAAAAGGCCTGGATACAACAAGGAAACCTGTTTCAAACTACATGGTGAGCCTGAATGGTATAAGGACTTTATTGATAAGAAGAAAGGGAAAAATGTTGTTGCAGTTGTTGCTAACAAATCTCCTGGAAAAGAAACCAAACATCAGGAGTCTTCATCTTTTGTCACTAAAAGCTGAACTTGAGGATATGATTAAAAGGCTAACACAGACGTCGATCACTTCTCCAGTTGATTATGCAGCAGGAGCCTTTGGTTGCTCAGATAACTCTTTGTTTAATGACGAATCTCATGGTTTGTAGATCCTTGACACAGGAGCTTCCAGCCATCTTTGTTCCTCTCTTTCTTTGCTTGTTAATCCTAAGCCTATCATCTAATCTTCTAATATCTATCTTCTTGATGGAACCACTAAAACTCCCAATCATTTTGGATCAGTCATTCTAAATTCCTCCATCAGATTACATAATGTGTTTTATATTCCTGGTTTTGTTTTAAACTTCATATCGATAAGTAAGTTAACTGTTGATTTAGGTTGCCTAGCTAAATTTGATGCCTCTTGGTGTGAATTGCAGGACCTGAGGACTAACTCAACCCTCTTACATGTCAAGCTTCATCATAATCTCTGTATTTTTCAGTCAAGCTTATCTTCTCAGGTTCTATGTTCTACTGTTTGATCTGATAATTTATCTCATACTTTCCTATGGCATGAAAAATTAGGTCATCCATCTTGGAATGTTATGAAACACTTACCTATGCAGTTCACTTTATTTCCTTCTACACCCTGTGATGTATGTTCCATTTCCAAATTTCACAAATTATCTTTCAATAAAAATGTTTCTCATGCCACTACTATTTTTGATCTTCTTTATGTTGATCTTTGGGGTCCCTTTTTGCATCCTTGCACCACTAATAGTAATTAAATGTTAACTATTGTTGATGATTGTTCTAGGGCACTTTGGTTATATCTATTACAACATAAAAGTGAGGTGGTAGGTTTATTGTCCAAATTTCTGGTTTTAGTGAATAGTCAATTCTCAACTTCAGTGAAAGTGATTATAAGTGATAACGTGTTTGAGTTTTGCAATACTGCATGTGAAGAATTATTTTCCAAGTCAGGGGTAGTGCATAAAAAAAAGTTGTGTTTATACTCTACAACAAATGGGAGGGTTGAGAGAAAACAGAAACACTATACTCAAGTTGCTAAATGTCTGCTCATCCACTATGGTTTATCTAAGTTCTATTGGAATGAGGCTTTTCTCACTGCTGTATACTTGATCAATAGACTTCCAACTCTTCTCCTTGATTGGAAAACTCCCTATGAGATTCTTTACAACATAAAACCTGATTTTTGGAGACTTCATGTATTTGGGTGTCTATGCTTTATTAAAGTTCCTAGTTCTCAACCGGGTAAACTAGACCTTAAAGGGCTGAACGGTGTTTTTTTGGGATATAGTGGGACACATAAAGGTTACAAAGTTCTTTATTGTCTTACTAATAAGATACATATTACTAGAGACGTGGTGTTCAATGACTCCATTCTACCTTACTCATCAAATATCTCCCCTCTTAATACTTTATCTCCTACTCTCAACTTCACTCCATTACTTTCCATTAATATTACTGATCTCATTCCCACTCCAGCCATTATGTCCGAATCTAAGTCAACATCTGACTTAGTTTCTTATCTCTCTTTGCATTCCAATCCTCAATCTCATCTCTCTCACACCGATTCTTCTCAAGTTTCTCATTCATCTCCAGTTTCTTCTTCATCTTTTTCCAATCCTCCTCCTGTGTCACTGACTACCGGACCTCAAAGATTTAGATGAATGTCTGCTAAGTATCAAGATTTTATCTGCACTACTCCAGAAGTGCAGCTCTCTGCTTTATTTGCAGACGCTAGCCTGTCAGAGGCTTGGACCAAAGCCATGGCTGAGGAGCTCGATGCTATGGCTAAGAATGATACATGGGATTTAGTTCCCTTACCTCATTCTAAGAAACCCATTGTTTTTCATTAAATATAATATGGATGGCTCTATTCTCAAGCATAAAGCTCGTCTTTTCACTAAAGGTTATCACCATAAATTTGGGAAAGATTACCATGAATCCTTCGCTCATGTTGCTAAGCAGACTATTGTTCGCCTTATTATTGCCCTGTCAGCATCCTTACGTTGGCATTTACACCAATTGGATGTAAACAATGCCTTTTTTTCATGGTGATATTAATGAAAACATTTACATGGCCTGCCCACCTGGCTTGTCTGCCTCCTCTAATCACGTTTGTAGACTTAAAAAGTCTATATATGGTCTCAAGCAGGCCCCACGGCAATGGAATGCCACTCTCACTGCCTTCATTCTCTCTTTGAGAATGCAGCAGATCCCTTTTGATCATTGTCTTTTTGTGGAGTTTACTAAGCTTGGTCCAATCATTTTGATTGTCTATGTTGATGATATTCTGCTTGCAGGAAGTAATGAACACAGGATCACTGCTCTAAAACGAGCCTTGCACGAGCACTTCACCATTAAAGATTTTGGTGTTGTTTCTTATTATTTGGGACTTGAGTTAATACAAGGTACTGATGGTATTCATGTCTCTCAGTCAAAGTTTACTCATGACCTTCTTGAAGAATTTCAGGTGCCTTCAAACAGTCGCGCTCACGCTCCACTTTGCACTGCCAAGTCATTGCAACTTAATGGAGTTCTCTTTGCTCAACCGCATCGCTTCCAAAAACTTATTGGAAAGCTTCTTTTTCTTGGTTTTTCTCGTCCAAATCTGAGTTTTGCGGTGCAACAGCTCAGCCAATTCATGCATGCTCCAACAGAGGATTATTGGTTTGCTGCTACTCATTGCTTCAATACTTGTAGAACACCTCAACCTGTGGTCTCTTATTTCCAGCCTTCGGTCTTCTAAAATTTACAAGTTTTTGTGACTCTAATTGGGGCAACTGTCCAAACACTCGTCGCTCCTTGAGTGGATATTGTGTCTTTCTAGGTGGTGCTCTAATTGCTTTGGAAGACTAAGAAGCAGCAGATTGTCTCGAAATCTTCTACCGAAGCCGAATATCGAAGTCTTGCTGCAGCAACCTCAGAGCTTCTTTGGATCCATTATGTTCTTGAGGCTCTTCATGTCTCAGTTCCTCATCCCGTTCCCTTATATTGCGACAATGAATAAGCCATCAAGCTGGTGTGCAATCCGGTTCATCATGAACGAACGAAGCACATCGACATCTATTGCCATTTTATTCGTGAACATTATTACTAGTCTGGGTTCCTTATCCCTACTTTCATTCGCACTTCTGTCCAAGTTGCTGATCTCTTCACCAAAAACCTGCACTCTCCTTATGTAAAGAGTATGACTAGTACATAACATATTGAAAATAAATGTATGGGATGGCTTATGTTTCATTTCCTTGTAATGGCTGTTTTATTATTTATTCTGAAAGCGCTATCACGCTTTATCCTTTCTGTAGGTGTATATATTATTCTTTTTTGTCTTTTTCCTCAAGATAATAACAGATTGGGTTTCTGTTTCGTACTTCATCTCTGTTCCTTTAATTATCTTGTTCGTTGATAATATTCATATAATGCTAACTCAATGGAGTTTCATAATTGTATGTTTAGTTGAACATGTGATAATTGAATTGATTAGTTATTTATGCAATCCAATTTTAAGCACTCTTCTAGATATCGGTAATTCAAATTAAATTTTTCTTGATCACAATACAATTAGACAATTTCATTACTTCGTATATACAATAAACAGTTAAAAAAAAAAAAAATTCCAAAACTCATTCAAACAAATCCAACTATTAACAAAATTTTTAGATAAAACAATAATATTAATATTATAAACACTATTTATTAATTTTATAAGCAGTACTTTGTATACCATATCTTATGTAATTTATTTGTATTTTATACGTTGATTTTAGTATATTAGTAGCATTTTATAGGTAATAATATAATAATAAGAAAAAGAAGAATATTTTTATCTTTAAATTTATTAATTTTTTAGTGATATTATTTATAATATATGTATACGATAAAATATTTCTTATTAAAATAAAAAATATTTTTACTAAAGAAGAAAAATAAATACATCTGAACTAGATCGATAAAAATGATTAAATGATTACTATGACTTATGAGTGTATAAATAAATTCAATTAAGTTGCTCCCTTCTATCACGTAAATTTAGAATATTTGTGTTCGACATAAATATTACGAAAGATACGTATTTTAGTAAACGTTGAATAAAAAATAATAGTTAAATATTAGTTTATTAATTTTGTCAATATTAAATTAAGAAAAAATAATTTTTTCGTTCAATTAAAAGGTTGTTATTTTTTATTTTTCTCTGTCCTAAAATAAAATTATTATTTTTTAATTTAGTAATTGTACTACCTAACATAATAAATCCTTCCAACTTATATTATATTACATAAATATCATTATTTTTATATTATACAATACTAATTATTGTATTTTTATTTTTATACTATAATCTAATATAATACTAATATTTAAAAATATATGTGCAAAAAATAAACAGTAATATTTCTTCGGAACATAATAAGTATAAGAGTTAATTTGGATATACAATGGAAATAGTACTTCCTCTCTCTACTTAAATTTACATTTACCTTTTATTTTGTGTGTTATTGTATTTAATAATAAAAATTATTTATATTTATATAATTTTTTATAAACATCATTTTATTAATATTATAAAATATTAATAAAAAGATATTTTTTTTAATTTTGATTTGTATTTATATTTTTATATAATAATTAATATTTAAAATCGGACTCACACCGAACAAATGTAAACATTGACAGCGGAGAGTATTAAATATTGCACGCTGACGCTATACGACAACACTGTGCAGCTTTTGTCCAAAATAAAAAAAAAAAAAATCAAAATAAACACGTGCAAATCACTGTATCATCAATAAAAAAATTCTCAATCCTCCATTAAATTTTCCATAAAAAGCTCCGAATCCTTCTTTCCCTTTCATCTTCACTCCAAGTTCCACGACAATGCCTTTCTCAGACAACAATGGCGATTCACAACCCTCCTCACCCCTTCTGTCCTCCACTCGACACTCCCAATCCCAATCCCAATCAAACCCACGTTTCAAAACCTTCATCATCTTCTTCATCTTCCTCCTCCTCGCCGTCACCGCCGCCATTTCCGCCACCGGCACCGCCGCCGTATCCTTCTCATCTTCTTCCCCAGAGCTCTCCAGACCTCTAAAGAAGCTCAAAAAGCCCGTCGTGCTTCTCATATCCTCCGACGGGTTCAGATTCGGTTACCAATTCAAAACAAACACTCCCAACATCAATCTTTTGGCCCGAAACGGAACATCTACGGATAAGGGTTTGATCCCTGTCTTCCCGACGCTGACTTTCCCCAATCATTACTCCATCGCCACCGGACTCTACCCAGCCTACCATGGCATCGTCAACAACTACTTCACCGATCCGGCCACCGGCGAGAAGTTCAGCCGCCAGAGCAAAGACCCCAAGTGGTGGCTCGGCGAGCCGCTGTGGGAGACAGCGGCGAACCACGGCCTGAAGGCGGCGGCGTATTTCTGGCCGGGATCGGAAGTGAAGAAGGGCAAATGGGATTGCCCTAAAGACTACTGTTTTCCGTACAACGAAACGGTGCCGTTTGAGGAAAGAGTCGACACAATTCTGAGCTACTTTGATTTGGCTGAATCAGACATTCCTTCCTTGATCGCATTGTATTTATCCGACCCTGATTCTCAGGGGCACGACGTGGGCCCCGACGATCCTCGGATCAATACGGCCGTGTCGAGGATCGATAGCGTCGTCGGACGAATTATCCAGGGGCTTAAAGCCCGGGAAATCTTCGACGACGTGACAATCATTTTAGTCGGCGATCACGGCATGGTCGGCACGTGCGACAAGAAGCGTTTGTTTCTTGACGATCTTAAAAAGTGGATTGTGATACCGCCGGAGTGGATGGAGACCGACTATCCGGTGCTCGGGCTTCGCCCGCCGGCCGGAAATTCGTCAGAGGAAATTGTGCGAAAAATTAAAGAGGGTCTTAATTCCGGTGAAGTTGAGAATGGCGAATTTCTTAAAATATATTTGAAAGAGGAGTTGCCTAGCCGGATGTATTATAACGATAACGATCGAATCCCGCCGATCCTCGGGTTGCTTGAGGAGGGGTTTATGTTGGAACCGAAAAGAAACAAGGAATTGTTTTGTGGGGGTGCACACGGTTATGACAACACGTTGTTTTCGATGAGGACGATTTTTTATGCGCACGGGCCGCGGTTTGGGAGGGGTCGGGTAGTCGGGTCGTTTGAGAATGTGCAAATATATAATATGGTTGCGACTATTTTGGGCATTCCGGGAGCTCCGAATAATGGCTCGGCGACGTTCGCAAATAGTGTTTTGTTGCCGAAGCATTGAATTGAAATTTGCTGTTAAAAGTTGTTGTACGCAGAATGGCAACAAGTATTGATGTGATGATAAAATAGTTTGGAGTAGAAATAAGAGCTTGTGTGGCTATGTACTAATGATTCACTTGCTGCATTCAGATTCTCTCCTGATTTGGCCAAGTTAAAATGATATTTATTTAATTGAATATACATATAAAATAACATATATTAAGTTATATATGTACGGCTAATTATAGAAATTATTATATTAATTTAATTTTATATTTAAAATAATAAATTTTATTTGATAATAAAATTTTGTACGAAGATAACAAAAATTAATTTATATAAAAATATAAATTATAAATAAAAAATACGGAAATTAAACCAAATAAACAATATTAAGTAAACGAATCAAAATTTCATAAATATATACTCCAATTTAAGCTTAAAAATAAAAAATAATTATTCATAATCACTTTTAAATTAAAAATCAAAATAAATTTGAAAGAATTTTGTCGTCATTTATATATGGTTGTTCAAAACATACTAAATAATATATATAGTAACGAAAAGAAAAACAAACAAATAAAATTAAGTAAATCATAAATCAAATAAAATTTATATACCATTTTAAATTCAAATCTAAGTAAAATATTTATTTACAATCTTATTAAATGAAACAGTACAATATATTTTGAAGTAAATTCATATCTATCGAAAAAAAATGCACTAACAAACAAAAGTAAAAATAAATATTGCAAAGTATTAAGTAATAAAAATTATAACAAATCGTATTAGATAAAAATAAAAAGCTCAAAATTTGAATATAATTTCAATTTCCAACACAAAAACGTATTAAAATAGTAATATTCTAAACCAAATTAATTAGAAAAAATACATATAGAATATAAATAAATAAGAATTGATTAGTAAAAAATAAAAAAAAAAAAACAAACAAAAGAATGCATACAAAATAAAAATGAAAATACTAAAATTAAAATATAGAAATTTTTATAAATTACTAAAATTTATCTTAATTTTTTGTATAAATTTCTCTAATATTCTTAAAATTGAAATGTAATCTACAAAATTAGGAAAAAAAATATTTTGATATAATATTCAAAACCAAATCAATTAAATAATACATATTAAATAATAATGAATAAAAAATTTATTAATAGCAAATAAAAATACCACAATGTATAATTAAAAAATACATAGATAATAAAAATAAAAGTAATAACTAAAAATATTTATATATATATATTAAAATTTACCATAATTTTGTTTATGATTTCTATAAATATTCTTTCAAATCAAAAAATTACAAATTTAAATATAATCTAAAATATTGAAAAATATACAATAATATAATAATTGAAATCAAATAAAAAAGCAAATAATCAATAAGAAAAAAAAAATATTATTTGTAGAAAATAAGAATAACAAAATAGATAATATTAAAAAATACATATACAATAATAATAGAGTATTAGAACAGTATATTTAAAAATTAAATAAAATAGTAAATATATACATAATAAGAATGAAAAATATTTTATATTAGTAAAAATTAAGAATAACATAATACATAATTTTTAAAAATATATATACAATAACAATCTCGAAACTAAATAAATTTGTAAATAAATATAAGAAGAATAAAAAATATCGATTATTAGAAAATTAAAATTAATTTAATAATATTATTACATATAATAAAATAAAATAAATAATTTTTCTACTTCTCTTCTTTCTCTTAAACTATTTTTTTTATAGTTAGAAATTGCATGCGTTTTATATTCATATCATATGCGATAATTGAGTAATTTTGATTGTATTCTACCTGATTTATATGCGAATTGTTTATTTGCTGTGTGCAGAAGGCAAATATTAAATTTGGCATAATTGGAAGAAAAAAAGAAATAAAATTAATTAAAGACCCAAAAGTCCATCTACAAAATAATTAGGGCAAATATTAAATAAAAAGAGGGATCACACGTTTCAAAAGAAGGGAGAACGGCTAGGGAAAAACGCACAGGAACAGGATCCATAGATCGCGCATGAGCAATTCGACAGAGAAGATTTCCCCCTCCCACTATGACTTTATCTTTATCTTTTGTTCTTTGTTGAGGGGTGAAAATGTTTTGGTTCTTTTGTTTTGGAGATTCTTGATTTTCTTTATAAAAGTTCTTTTTGATTATCAATATTTGTCTAATTCTGAGAATAGCTTTTGTGATTGTTAGATTGATTGAATATTTTGGTACCGATATTTAAATTAGTCTGATAATTTAAAGTCAATTCAAGTAGGATATCCGTAATTGTATTCGCACTTGAATAGGTGATAACCGGGTTGAATAGTTCCTTCCCGGGGGTTAGACAATCAAATCTAATTGCTTCTCTAGGTAGTAATTGTTTTGAATTGGGTTTTTCTAGATTACAATGCGGTTAGGCAATATTTTTATGGGCGCACCTAAGTTTATTTGCTTAATTAGGGGTAGTTAATGGTTGTACCTTAATTACCTACGCGGTAAGATAAAACTGGTTGTCAGAGCTTGTTGATAACTACAACCAATTTATTGATACTTTAATAAGAATTAATTTTATTGAATTAACGATAAAACACAAGTGTCATAACTGCATCATCCATTGAGCCAGACATCCCCTTGATAGTCAGTTCCCTCTTTAATTTAATTGCTTTGTTATTTTATTTTAATTAGATAATAAAAGAAAAATCCCCCTTTATTTACTGCATTAGAACACGAAAGAGTGAATCACACAATCCCTGTGGAGACGATCCCTTCCCCTATATTACATTAAATTGTGATCACGGAGTAGGTGAAATATTTGATTGACCGCGCGACAGGTCATTCTTCTCATTTTTTTTTTCTTTCTCCTTTTTTTTTGGACTTTTTTTGCATCATAGTATGAATAAAAAAATTAATTAGTAAAAATTTTCATATAATAAAGTTTAAAATTTATGAGTCGAAGAAAACAAATTTACTATAAAATTTCTACTATATAAGGAAAATATATTATATGCATAAATAATTGTATATAAAAGAGATAATGATATATTTTTCATATGAAAAATCTCACTCCCTTTAAACGATAACAAATTATATGCGTAAATAAAAAAAAAATAAAAAAATAAGAGTTTCTAAAAATACATATAAACATGTTCAATCATCATTAAATCAATCAACGAAAACCATATTAAAGATCAAGAAAAAAACCTAAAAACCTTGTCACATTCTGTAAAGTTCGGGTCAATCTACATATATTCAATCAATAATCTCACTATTTGAAAACACAACCAATTACAGAAAATTTTAAAATTTTTTTATTATTCTCTGAATATAAATTAATATATTTAATTATAATTTGATAAATATATTATAATTAAATTAATAATAATAGAGAAAAATAAGTAAAATAAAACCTCACCAGATATTTCAACTAATGTGGCCGATGATTTATTTTTTGGAAGAAAGACGGCCGTACTATTGAAAAAGATATATATTATAATTGAAATAATAATAGACAAATAAAATAAAATTAAAACTAAATAAAAAAAAAAGAAAGAAAGAAGAAAAGATTGAGGAATGAGAGACGGCTGCTGTGGATTTTGTGGGGGAAGAAAGTGGAGAGTGGATGGTACAGAGAATAAAGTGAAGAGGATGGTGATTAAAATTTCTGTTACAACATCAACATCGACGACGACGACGACAACAACAACAACAATAATAATAATAAAATTACTTACATGGTGGTGATGAATTTGACAAAAAATATTTATGGACAAATTTACATACAATTTATTTGTCTACTTCGATTTTTTCAAGTATCTTCTTCTCGTGCGTGTAGTTGGATAAATAGTAGGTTGACTCGAAAGTCCATAAACATGACAAAGTTTTTGACACTCTGCATCAATCTCATTAATTATCTAATTCAAGTTCTGATTTGGTCTACCATTCAAACGGAGTTGTTTTCTCCGTTTTAATTGAGTAATTTTTTGTTCCACTTGCACATTATTCATCTACACATAAAATAAATAAATAAGAAAAATATATTTATCTAGTTTCAAAAGTACATGAATTTAAAAATAAAAAATAAAAAAATCATAATTTCTACAATTTTCTATAAATTTGACAGAATTATTTTGTATTCACATACATTCTTATTCTTTTAACTTTTGTAGTATTACAGATTAATGATGTTGAATCTCCACTCAAATTGTTCCTTGTAATGCTCGAGGTTGAACACAATGTAATGAGACGCAAAATTAAAAACTATACAGAATTCAAAAAAAAAAAAATCATAATTCTACGATTTTCCATAAATTTGACATAATGATTTTGTATTCACATATCTTCTTACTTTTTTAACCATTTGTAGTCTTACATATTAATGATGTTGAATCTCCCATCGAATTTTCTCTTGAAAACTATACGGAATTCAAAAATAAAAAATAAAAAATCATAATTTCTACGATTTTCCATAAAATTGACAGAATTATTTTGTATTCACATACATTCGTACTCTTTTAACCTTTTGTAGTCTTACATATTAATGATATTGAATCTCCCTTCAAATTTTCCCTTCTAAGTTAGCGTAATGCTCGAGGTTGAAGGCAATGTAACGAGACGGAATTCAAAAATAAAAAATAAAAAATCATAATTTCTACGATTTTCCATAAATTTGACATAATGATTTTGTATTCACCTATCTTTTTACTCTTTTAACCTTTTGTAGTTTTGGAGATTAATGATGTTGAATCTCCCTTCGAATTTTCTCTTGAAAACTATACGGAATTCAAAAATAAAAAAAAAAAAAATCATAATTTCTACGATTTTCCATAAATTTGACAGAATTATTTTTGTATTCACATACCTTCTTACTCTTTTAACCTTTTGTAGTCTTACATACTAATGATGTTGAATTTCTTCTCGAATTTCCCCTTCTAAGTTAGTGTAATACTCAAGGTTGAAGACAATGTAATAAGACACGAAATTGAAAACTATACGAAGTCAAAAAAATAAAAATAAAAAATCTAAATTTCTAAATTTGACATAATTATTTTGTATTCATATACCTTCTTACTCTTTTAACATTTTGTAGTCTTACATATTAATGATGTTGAATCTCCTCTCGAATTTCCCTTTCTAAGTTAGGATAATGTTCGAGGTTGAAGACAATGTAATGAGACGCAAAATTGAAAATTATACGAAAGTCAAAAATAAAAATAAAAAATCATAATTTCTACGACTTTCCATAAATTTGACAGAATTATTTTTTATTTACATACCTTCTTACTCTTTTAACTTTTGTAGTCTTACATATTAACGATGTTGAATCTTCAGTTGAATTTCCCTGAGGTTGAAGACAATGTTACGAGACTCGGAACTGAAAAATATACGGAATATTAAAATATAGTATATGTAATTATATATATAATGATGGAATTTTAATAACAAAAATATACGAAAAAGAAGTTACTATAATTATATAGATAAGCACATCATATATATATATTTATAAAATTAAATAATTATATAGAATGTGATTGGTAAATTGATTTGATTAGTTATGATTTAAAAAAATTTTGAAATATTATTTGATGAGTTAGTTATTAGTTTAAAAATAAAATAAAAAAATTCCAAATTTATTATAAAAAAAAAAGTAGAATTATTTAAAAATTAAAAAAAATTCCAAAATTATGAAAGTGCACCAATTGAAGTGTCTTGTGCTATATATATAAATATATGATATGATATGATATATGATATGATTGATATATATTGGATGTTGGTCACTTCTATAGCATATGATATGATTCAGTCAAATTAGCACATGTTTATTTGATAGGATCATTTGCTGATAGATGCCCTTTTTTTTTTTTTTTTTTTTTACGATAGTGGAAACTCGCAGCCGCTACTCGAAAGTAAGTACTAGGTAAATCTCCGGCCGAACTTAGTACCCTGCAAATTATGTCCGACAGACAAATCACACTAAACAAATCTTATGTAAAAATTCTTTTATAAAATTATTTGTATTATTATTTTATAAACAAATAAAAATCTATATATATAGAGAGAGAGGCACTATGACCCGACTAAATAATGAATAAAATCAATTTTAAAATAAATTAATCTAATTTAAAATTCAATCGCTGAAATATCTCAACAGAAATACCAGCAACTATATATAGTAGTCCAAATTTATTTGGACTATTTGATCAGATAACATTTATATTTAACAACCAACCTTATTCCAAAAACCTAAATCCATATATACATATATATGTCCTACATTTTTATCTCATTGCCAAACGTTCGTCGAGAAAAAACCAAAAGCAATACACAGTCCTACCATGGAAGTAAACAACGCTCAAACTCCGAGCAATCACTCCGATCAAACGACGACGACAGCTTCGACTCTTTTCGAGCGTCTGATGGGCAGAAGATGGAGCTCGAATGATTCCAACATGATTTGCAATAGAATCGTAAGAGAATTACTCGACTTGCAAAGCAGACAACGAAATTTAACGGCCACACCCGTGACAAGAGCCGAATTCGATGAAGCTACTGAATTGGCGATCTCGGAAGAGATCGAGTATCTTAGCGACAGTCGAAATGGATTTGGCGCAGACGTAGAATACGACGACGATGCCCTGCACTCTGAGATATCGGGTTTTGTAAGAGATTCTGTTTCCCATCTCTTTGAGAATCTAACGGAAGTCCTGAATTTACCATTCGGAGATTCTTATCAGCATAATGATATTGGTTTGTCCGATGAAATTATTGACTGGTATCTGAAGAAAGAGAATATTATGGGCGCAGCGGCGCCAGATGAAGAAGTCTGCCCTGTGTGTCGAGATGATCTTCGGAAAGGAGTCAAGACTAAGGATATCGCAGATGATCTTCCGGTAGATGATCTTGGGAAAGAAGTGGAGACTAAGGAGATTGCAGATGATCTTGGGAAAGAAGTCGAGACTAAGGAGATTGCAGATGATCTTCGGAAAGAAGTTGAGACTAAGGAGATCGCACGGCTTGATTGCAAACACTTTTATCATGTCGATTGCATAAAGAAGTGGCTTCGACTCCAAAGTATTTGCCCGCTCTGCAGAGCTGTCTTGCGGATTTAGCAAGGACTAGCAGAACAATTAGATTTGTTCAATTTATATTTTTATTTATATTTTTATGGAGGTATTCTTTTACTTTAGGTTCGAGAATTGTGTTTCGACAATACGAAAAATAATATATTGTGTTGAATTGTTGATTTTTTTTATGAATAGATTAAGTTTTTATCATTTATATTGATTTTTTAGGCTGCCGGAGACCTTGCCGCCGCAATGCCAACGTCGCCGTTGCCGCCGCCGAAGAAGAATGAAGGAAGGAGGAAGGGATGGGGGAAGAGTTTGGGGGAGGGTGGCGGCCGCCGACGGCTGAGGTTATATTTAGGGTTTTAGTTTTGTAATTTTTTTAAAACATAATTTTTAATTATTATTATTATTATTATTTAGCTTCTGAAATCGTGAACCTTTTTCTATATAATAAAATAAATAATTTGGCTTCACAAATTTTGAAATCATTTATTATGGATTCCAAAATTTTAAAGTTATTTAATATAATAAAATATATATTTAGTACGACTTCGAAAATTTTGAAATTATTTAATATAATAAAAAATATATATAATATAGTTTCAAAATTTTTAGACTATTTTAATTATTCGAAATCAAAACAATTTTGTTGATTTAATATAAATTTGATTTAATATAAATTATATATATTCACACTCTCGGAATTTTTTTGAGACCATTTTGGTTAAAATGTGTATATCATCATACAATTTTTGGGGATTGTTTTTTTTTTTTATCTTATTTTTTGTGATTTTTGTTGATTGATTAGTTACAAAAATATGTTTTCTTGAAGGATTTTTATATCCTATTTTTTCTAATTTGGTTTGGATGAAGTAGTGTTTTTTTCTGTATTATTTCTTATATTGATTATACTCTTTTTGACTTATTTTAGTTTTTATTAATCAATTCTATTATTATTATTATTTTTTTTTTTAAAACTATGTATGTTTATTTTTATAAAATATTTGTATTTTTTTTAAAAAAAAATCTAATTTTAAGTATTATATATTTTGATTTGGAAGAATTATCAAAGGAAATTCATTCAACTAAAACAATAATAAATGTTAATATAAAAAATTAATTTAATATTAAAATTTTATTTTTATTGTGTATGTATTTTTAAATTTTATATTGTGTTATTTTTATTTTTTATTAATTAGTTTTTTTATTCTTATTAAGTAAGCGTTTTATTTTAATTGATTTGATTTTAAATATTATATTCTAATATTACTTTTAAAAATTTTCTTCAATTATATTGAAATTTTGACTTTGTTGATTTAAAAAGGGTAAAATATATTTTAGTTCCGTTGACCATTTTATCATTTTTAATTTCGTAATTGAAAATTGTTTTAAAGTAAGTCTTATAAGTATAAAATTTTTGCATTTTTAGTCCTCCGTCACCGAAGATGCATGCGTGGAAATGTCGGATGACACATGTCCACTTCAGTGCCAGGATATGTAGATAATTTTGATTTTTTCTTTATTTTTAAAATTTTAAAAATTAAAAATTAAAAAACATAAATAGTAAAAAACAAATTAAAGTTTTAAAATAAAATAAAACATAAATAGTTTAATTTAATTTAATTTTTTTATATTTTAAAATTTTATTTTATTATTTATATATTTTTACATTTTTAAGTTTTATTTTTTTATATTTTTATTTTTAAAAATAAAATAAAATAACTAAAAATTATCCACTCCATCAAGTAGTGCTAACTTGGAGGTCATTGTGTCCCAGGTCTAAAATAATAAAGACCTCCAGTTACTCTGATTAAAATAATTTACACTTTTAAAAAATTATTTGAATAATTCATATAAAAAAATATTATAAATTTTAATAGATAAAAAAATTATTTATCTTTTTTTTTACCTCCATTTGGATTGTGAATGTATTTTTTCTTATATATATATATAGTTTCAAGAGCAAATTTGAAATTTTTTAGGTAGTTAATAATATAAATTTTAGATTAAATTAAAATGTGTGCAAGAAATATACGTAAATAGATGTAAAATAATAGAATATGTTTATTTTTATTTCAAATAAAAAAAATTACCATCCATTTTATATGACTTTCAATCAAAATATATTACAATATTTTTTTATATAAAATATTATATAAAAAATACTATTTAAATCAAAATTTAAATTAATATCTCGATTTTAAATCAAAATCAAATAAATTTATAATATTTTATATTTAATTATTGAAATTTTACGAATGAATAATATATATTATATATATTGTATCAATTCATCAGAAATCGTATTTTGAAAAAAAATAATAATTAGGTGAACAAATCAAATTTATGCATTGACAGTAAAACATTTGAGCTCGCCTCGTTTAACAATTTTTTTATTCATGTTCGGCTTGGCTCGGCTCGTTAAGAGAAATTTATTTTATTTATTTAATTTTTTTAAAAAATTTAAATTTAGTTAATAATAATTATAATTTTTATTAATAAATTTGAATAAAAATAGAATGAAATATAATATTTACAAAGATATATATACTTATTAAATATAAAATTATCAATTTAATTTCTTTAATGAATACTATCGAACGTTAGCGAACAAGTTCGAACTCGTTCGTGAACATAACGAGCCAAAATTTATGTTCATGTTCGGCTCGTTTAACTTAACGAATGAGCTCTTAGCGAACTCAAACGAACCGAACCGAGCCGAGCTTGCGAACAGTTCGTTTGTTTTACAGCTCTCTCTATATATATGAAGTATATTTTATAAATTATGAATATCGTTATTAAAATAGATGTGATTTATTTTTTCATTAATTGTGACAGAATGTTTAGTTAACAAGGATTACCGTATTGATTCGAAAAAATTAATACCGAAAAATCAACACCCGAAAAATAAAAAAATAATACATATTTTTATTACAATTAAGTTAAATAATTACAACATGTGTTATATAATAATATGTTATATGCTAAAATCAACTATTGTATTTGCTCCGTGTGATTATATTATTTGTTGTATTTGTACCGTCAATAGTAACATCGTGTGTAGTTTGTTAGCATATTGCGTGTTATTCAGTTGAATTTAAAATTCAGCATTTTACCTCGTCGCCTAATAATATTGGTATTCTAGAAAATACAAATCTTAAATTCATTCCATGAATAATAAACAATTTCTAAATTATACTACCTCATTTCCGGCTCTAAGAGTCTTATTCACTTTTTGCATATTAATGTTTGAATATTAATTATTATATCTAAACGTAGTATAAATTAAGAAAAAATTGTAAAAATACTTCAATTAGTATCTTATAACGCAAAAGGTAAATGTTAAGTACAATGATTCAAAAGATAAATGTGACATTTAGAGCCAGATGGAGATAGTATATATCATCATATTTTCAAACTAATAACATAATTTTCATATATTCAGTATACTATATCTTCACCATCTTAAAGTAAGATATCATAGGGTTATTATATCGACAACGGATTTACTGGTTAACAACTTTATCTCGTTTTTATTGAATAAATTGCAATTATAATAAATATATACTTTTTTCGTTCATAAACTAATATTCTATTTTTTTTTTATTTGAAACGTTAAATTTTCCTATTTTTCCTTTTAAATGCAAATTGTATTTTTTACCCTTAATTCATTTACTACTTTTAAATAAATTCTATCTAAATATTAGGTACGTATTTAATATTATTAATTTTCATAATTAAAATGTCATTAAATAAAAATTTTAAATTCCTAAGTCCCCATGTTAATATCAACCACAATTAAAATTTAAATGGATTGAGCAGCAATATTGTAAAATTATTTTATGTAACTAAAAAAAAATTGCATTATATTTCATAATCATAATTATAGTCTAAAATCATACCAATCTAATTCCACGGATAAAATTATATCTAAAACAACTAAATCTAATTTAAAATTCAATAACTAAATTATCTCAACAAGCCATATACCAGCAACAATAAGTATACGATAAAGATCATTCTATACTTATCCAAAAAAAAAAAAAAAAAAAAAAATCTTAACTAGCATGATAACAAATTTATTTGAATTGATCAAATAAGATATATTTATTAAACGACCTTTCTTTCCGTAACAAAAATCTATATGTACGGATTCAATTACTATACCCCAAACATATTGTGCCAAAAAATTAATAAAATAAAAATTTTTAAATACGCATGGCGATTGGTGATTGATTGTATACTGGGTAGGGTAACTGAACCCTACATATACATATATATATATATATACGCCCTATGTTTATTTTTTTACAAAACGTTCATCAAGAAAAACCAAAAGCATAACATAGTACTACATGGAAGAAAACAACGATCGAACTCCGAGCAATGACAACGGTCAAGCGACGACGGATTCGACTCTTTTCGAGCATCTGAGGGGCAGAAGATGGGAACCGTATGATTCCGACAGGATTTGTTATAGAATGGTAAGAGCAATACTCCAATTACAAAGGAGCATCCAAGAAGATTCAGGAAACACAAACCTGACAAGAGAAGATTTCGACGAGGCTTCTTATTTTGCGGTCGAGCAAGATATCGTATATCTTAGAAACAGTGGCACTGATTTGACGCCGGAAAATGAAGATGCCCTGTTCTATGAGATATTAGGTTTCGTAGAGACGCGTGTTTCCGGTGTGATTGAGAATCTAATCGAGGAGCTGAATTTAACTGTCGAAGAATATTCTCATCAGCATAACGATGGTTTGTCCGACGAAGCTATTGACGGATATCTGAAGAAGAGGAATTTATCCGGCGCAGCGGCGGTGCTTGATGAAGAAGTGTTGTGCATTGTGTGTAGAGATGATTTTAAGGAAGAAGTCGAGACGAAGGAGATTGCACGGCTTGAATGCGGGCACGAGTATCACGTTGACTGCATAAAGAAGTGGCTTCGACTCAACAATACTTGTCCGCTCTGCAGAGCTATATGTGTGAGTTAGTAAAGACTAGTAAAACAACTAGCATTTGTTTGCTGCAATATATATATATATATTTTTTTTTTTTTGACGTGAATCCAATATATATTTTATCATCTCACAAAAAATATCTATTATTTTTATATTACCTCTATAATTACCGTTTGTATACATTAAAAATATATTTATATTTGTATAATTTACTTATTACAAGAGAACAATAAAATATTTTTGTATCTTTTCTTAATTTATACAACGTATTAATCTAATAATAAATATTAAAAAATAACAACGGTTTCAGGTTGAATTGTCGGTTTCAGGTTGAATTGTTGATATTTCTTTTTTTTTTTTTTTGTAATAGTAATATTTATTTCAACAAAAAATATAAGTAAACAAAGCCAATGTATCTTATTGATTTACAATGTATAAGAACTAGCGTGTAAAATGCTTTTCTGGTAAATATTTTAGTTATTTATAATAATTGAATAATTATATCTATAAAAATTAATTTATTTTTTAAAAGATCTATATATGAGGTAATAATTACTGTTATAGATAGAATATAAAAAAATTATAGTAATCAAGTGTATTAAATATTTTTTTTTTAGCACTAGTGTATACGCATTCAAATAGATTAGTAAATTATAAAAATTTAAAATAAGTTACGGTAAAATTTGTCTTCTAAATTCATTTTTCAGCACGATAATAGATGATAAAAAACATAAAAAATAATAAAAAATTCTTATATTTATTATTAAATGTATTTGAAAAATATATAGTTTTTTGCTTCCATTTTTATTATGTATCAAAATATATTTTAATATTTGCCACAAATACTCTAAACAATATTTATCAATATAAAATCAAAATAAATAACATATAATTTAATATTAATAACCTATTGGTCATATATATCAAAATAAAATATTTCTTCCTCCTTAAAAAATGAACCCATATTTTTTTTTATATGAATTTTATTGTAATTGTGCGCTTTTGTATAAAAAGTAAAAAAAAGAAGTATAAAAATAGTATTACCTTTTATTGAATACGAAGATGAGAATATTTTAAAAAAAGGACACAAATAAAAAGTAAACATATTTTTAAAATACGAATGAAATAATAAATAAAATACGTAAATAAAATATTTCATTATACATTATTAAAGATGACCTATTTTAAAGAATATAAAAAATACATACAATTTTAATTTTTATAATTTACTTATATGCTAATAAATGAAATTAATTTATAAATTTAAATTAAACTTAAAGAGAATATAAAATTAAAAGAAGAAACTTTTCATATCTATACACAAGTCCATTGTAATATTAAATTCATTATATTAAACACCAAATATTATGAAAATTTTAAAATATATTTGTGCTTAGCAAAGTAATCCACTGTTGATCCGGTCCAAAAAATACGGCCCAAATCAAGTTACAACACAGATCCGGCCGAAGAACACAGCCCAAATCGGTTCCGGAAAGCCCAAAACAGGCCCAAAACATAAGCAACCACACAAGATTTTGGTCCATAGTTATCCATTTGTAATTTCGGAGATAATTTATATATATATATATATATAAATTCTAAATAGATATCAAATAAATTAAAATAAAAATTATTAATTAAAATCAAAATAAAAAATAATTAATTTGTAGAGACGGGTGAATTTAAATTGTTTGATAGATTTGAAAAATTTCGAAATTAATTAAAATAGGTTCAGAAGTTCCCAAGCTAATAAAGGTTCAAAATTTCAAAGACTAATGAAGGTTCGGAAGTTTCGAGACTAATTACAATAGATTCGGAAGTTTCGACACCAATTACAATAAGTTCAGAATTTTCGAGACTAACAAATGAACTTGGAATTTTCAAAATTTTGGAAAGTTCGGAGGTTTTTAAACTAATTAAAATAAATTTGGATGTTCCGAGACTAATAAATTTGAAATTTACGGGATTATATAAAATAGGTTCAGAATTTTCGAGACTAATAAAAGTCTCATAAATTCATAAAGTAATTACAATAGGTTCGGAAGTTCCGGAGCTGAAAAGTCTCAGAATTTCTGTGGCTAATCAAAATAGATCGGGAATCGCTGAGACTAATAAAAGTTTCGGAATTCCCGAAACTAATTAAAATAGACTCAGAATTTCCGATACTAACAGTTTTGGAATTTCTGAGACTAATCAAAATAGGTTCGGAATTTTGGAAACTAATACAATTCTCGAAATTTTTTAAACTTATTAAAATAGGTTCGGAAGTTTCGAAATTAAAAGTCTCTAAATTTCAGTAGATTCGAAATTTTCGAGACCATTTAATATAATAAATTATATATTATAGATTCGGAAAATATGAAACTATTTTGGATAGTCTCAAAAATTTCAAGGCAAAAGAAATTGATTGATTTAATATTTATTATGTTAGACTCTCGGAATTGATTATGAGGCAAAAAGGAAAAATCCCTAAACTACCTCTATTAATATTAACTATTCAGTTAAAATTTAGGAATAGTCTACAAAATTTTCCAATATTATTAAATTTTACAAAGGATAGGATCAGATCCGATAAAGATTGACTTCTATTAATTTTAACTACACAATTAAAATTTAAGAATAATTTACAAAATTTCACAATATTATTGAATTTCACAATGGATAAGATCAGCAAGATACCGGCAATCACATGTATCCGATAAAGATTGTTGGATACTAAAGAAATTCTTAACTAATATGATAACAAACTTATCTGAACTTCTTGATCAGATAAGATATATTTATAACATCCTTTCCTTTCCCGCCAAAAAAAAAATTCTATATGTACATGTCTATGTTTATCTTGTCGAAAACTCATACCAAACTTTCGCCAACAAAAACTAGAAGCATAATATAGTACTACAATGGAAACTAACAACGCTCAAGAGACGTCAACAGCTTCGACTCTTTTCGAGCATCTGATGGGCAGAAGATGGGAATCATATGATTCGGACAAGATTTGTAATAGAATTGTACGAGTAGTACTCGACAAGCGCAGCAGCCGCGAAGGAAATTCAGCGGCCACAGCCCTGACAAGAGATGATTTTGATGGCGCCGCTCATTTTGCAGTCGGGCAAGAGGTTGCATATCTGAGAGACAGTCGGGATAAATTTAGCGCTGATTTGACGACAGAAAATGAATATGTCCTGTTCTATGAGATATTTGGTTTCGTAGAGCGCCGCGTTTTCGATCTGATTGATAATCTAGCGGATGCGATGAATTTAATGGTCGAACATCCTTATCAGCATAATGATGGTTTGTCCGATGAAGCTATTGACAGATATCTGAATAAAAGGAATTTTACTGGCGCGGCGGCCCCAGATGAAGAAGTGCAGATGTGCATTGTGTGTCAAGAGGATCTTCGGGAAGAACTCGAAATTAAGGCGATCACACGGCTTGAATGCGGACACATGTATCATGTTGATTGTATAAGGAAGTGGCTTCGACTCAACAACAGTTGCCCTGTCTGCAAAGTTATCTGTGTGAATTAGTATAGACCAGTAAAACAATAGGTTTGATCACTTTGTATATATTTATATATATATATATATATTTACGGAGGTTGTTGATATATTAGTTATTTAGGTTTAAATTAAATTGAATTGTTTTAGATTTGGTTTTTTATCTTTAACTTGTTCACAATTGTTGAGTTCATAAAATATTCTCACAAATGTGTTTTTTTATCTTAAATATGAAAAATTATACTAATAATATAAAAAAAAATAATATTTTAAATTTAATTGTTGATTTTTTTAAGTGGACAAAATATATATTTGTTACTCCCTAACTTTTGTAGGTTTGATAAAAAGTGGCGGCCCAACCCAGAGGATCGGCCCATGCGACCCACAAAGAAGTTCAGTTTGTTACTCCCTTATTTGGATACTTTTATTTCTCCAAGATCAAATCCGTTTCTTTCTTTGTATGCTTTCCTTTATTTTATTATTCTTGGATCTTAATAATTTATCTTTTCAAATTAATATCATTTAATTTCCAGCCTTAATTTGTGTCTCATTTTTACATCCGTATGATCAAATCCCAGTCGCTCCCATTATACTAAACCAGCCCCGAATCAAATATTGCGATCGATTCCATCCACACCCGTTTGCACATCGATTTTTATTGCAAAACTAGACTGGATACTTTCTTGAGTAAGCTGCGGAACCCGAATTACATCAATTTCAACAGACCCAATTCTTCCGGCCGTCATTGACGAATTTTAGCGATAACAGATTAATACGCCCAGCGGGACTCCAACGAGTCTCGTATTTTTATGCAACTGACAAATCGCAAGTTAGCATGGGCAGAACCACAATGTCGATTGCCGGCGAAATTACAACGTCGCATGTTTCCGGAGAAATCACACATGACGAATTCTCTGTAGCTCCGGGAGGTGTGGAAAGAATGGTGACAATCCCGGCTAACGTTTTACAGGACAGATCCGAGAAGACCTCCAAACGGCACTCCATGAGTCGGCGGTGGAGTTTTTCCGGTATTTTACGGACTTTTTGAAACTCACCATCACTTGCATGGATGAAGGAAAACGAAATCCACAATGGAGAAACTCCGATAACCAATAATGAACTCACCGGAAACGATCCTCTCTCAAGAAAATTTAGTTAATTTAAATATTTTATTGTGAATTATAATTATAATTGTTATAATAAATTTCTAAGAAATATATATTATAATTGAACTTATTTAAATATTTAATTAAAAATAATTAAAAATATATAATTATATGTAGATATATATAATTAAATATATGTACGATATATTAATATTTTAATTTCAATATTCTATCGAATAAAAAATAAAATAAATAAATATTAAAAATTAGAATAATATAATAAAATATAAGAGTATAATATATAATTCAGTAAATAATGTTTTTAATAAAATTATCTTATGGTCAAATTATCCCAGACACATATATCTAATAATACAAATATATTCAAACAATACAAATATAAGAATACGTATGGAGGGAGTATAAGATAAGATCTTTTGTCTGTCTTCATGTTATATTATTTTTAACAACAATTAATTTAAATATAATTAAAATATTTTTAGTTGAGATCAATTTTGATGAATTTTTCTATAAATGACTAAAATTGACTTGTTTTATATTCAAACTGATCAATTTTTTTTTTTTTTTTGAAAAAAACAGTGTCAAATCAGTAAAATACGAGGGCCAACTTCCGAAACTCAGGGGTTGGTTCTGTCGCTGAAAATATGTATCATAAATCTATTACATTGTAAACTATAAATATATATTGCTTTTCTAGACTTTATTAATGCCACAGATAGCTCTGCAGTACGGGCAAGTATCGTTGAGTCGAAACCACTTCTTTATGCAATCGAGATGATACACGTGTCCGCATTCCAGCCCAGCAATCTCCTTAGTCTCGACTTCTTCCCGAAGATCATCCCGACACACAATGCACATCTCGTCTGGCGCTGCGCCCGTAATATTCCTTTTCTTCAGATATACGTCAATAATTTCATCGGACAAACCATCGTTATTACAATTCTGGCGAGGATGTTCGCCTATTAAAGCCACTTCATCCAGTAAATACTCCATATAATGGGAAACACGGTGCTCTACATAACCCCATATCTCAAGGGACAGGGCATTTACATTCACCCTCGTCCAATCAACGTTCGATCCATCTCTCAGATATTCGATATCTTGGTCGATCGCCAGATTGGTGATGTCGTCGATTACATCGGTTGTCAGGATTGTCTCTGCTGGATAATTTTGTTGATCGATTTCTTCTAGGATTCTCCTAAAAACCCTGTCCGAATCGTATGATTCCCATCTTCTGTTCATCAGATCCTCGAAAAGGAAAAGGCTGGTCGACTCTCGATCGGTGTAATTACTCGGAGTTTGAGCGTTGTTAATTTCTCTTTGGACTGCGGCATCACTTTCGATGGATGATTGATTCGTCTGGACTATTAGAAGAGAAGGATCCATAGTACTATGTTGTTTCTTGACGAAAGTTTGGTTAGAGTTTTGAACGATATGAACAGAGGGATGTATGTATGTATGTATGTATATATAGGTTCTGGTTTTGGCAAAAGAGGGTGTTTAATAAATAAATCGTATCACATTATTTAATAACTAATTAGTTAAGATTCGTTTGACATCAAATAATCTATATCGGATATTATATATATATCATATCATATCATATCATATACCATATAATATATATATATATTTGATAAGAAGTTTTTATTGCCGGGTTATCATAATTTTGATGATTTTATTTTATTTTTTAAATATTAAATTTGGATAATTAATTAAAATTTTTAAATAACAAATAATTCAATAAAATTTAGATTTATTGGGATAATAAATAACAAAAATATTGATAAAATATTATTTTCATTATCTATATACATATTTGACTTTTAGTTTTATAAATTTTTCGATTTTAAAACTTTTTTGTTTTCTTTTTAAAAATCAGAAGAAAAAGTTATTATAAGAAATAATACAAACATAAGAAAAAGAATACCTAAAAACATAGGTTCTTGTTTCGTTAACTGTATGACCAAATTAAAATTTTCAGAGAGTGTTACTGATGCTCTTTCAATCCAATTGTGAGATTTGGGATCAAATGTTTATACTTCGACCACAATTTTACAGAACGTGACCAATTTGTTTTATTCGGTTTCTTGATTTTAAATTTTTTAAAAATTTGTGATTTTCGATGGTTGGTACAACGATGATTGTTGAAACACGCTATTAAATATATTAGTTAAATATATTAAAAATATATTTTAAAAATATATTCAAATTATTAAATAAAAATACCAAAATTATATTAGTTAAAAACTATATTACTATTATTTAGGGTTGTGATCTCATCGAAGCATAGTCTAATTTCACTTACTTTTTGCGAGGGAGCAATAAATAAGGTAGAACCTTAACATTCAATCTCGTAGTCCACTTGCAAGAACACAATTTCTGGATGTTCTTCGGCTGTCTTGCAGAGCTGATTTAGGCAACCTCGTGTTTGTTTGAGGGATTTGTTTGGATTTTCACTATTCAAATGATGCTGAGCCGCACGAATTTGTTTTTAAATATCCTCTAAAAGGCCTCATTCTAGTGGAGTTCATTTGGACTTATAAAGTGTGAAATTTTCATTATAACTTTCCCATGTGGGACTTGAGTTTGCACTCCAATAAAAATAAGATAAAAATAATACAAATTAGATAAAAAAAAAATAAAAGAAAACAAACAAACAAACTTCATTAGAACTAGTACGACTGTGTTTACTTTGCATTTCATTCCACTTTTTTTTCTTTTTTTTTTACAAAATATGGTAGGATCCCAATAAAAATGATTATTTTACTTTTGACATAATTATGTAGGAGGTATAGTGTTTGGTAATTGTTTTTCATAATTTTGCTTTTATTTTTATTTTTTTTAAATTATATTTAAAACAGTACAGTGAAGAGGTAAAAAATGCGATATGAATTTAAAGAAAACAAAAGAAATTGCAAAAATTTTATGATATAATAGCAAGAGATTTGGGATTGGATTATAACCCATCGAGATTTGATTTTTGTTCATTTAATTAGCTCAACCAATACCATTAAAAAATATATATACAAAATGAATAAACAAATTGTTTTACTAATATTTACAAATTCACACAAATAGCTCTGCAGAGCGGGCAAGTATTCTTGAGTCGAAGCCACTTTTTTATGCAATAGACATGATACAAGTGTCCACATTCAAGCCGTGCGATCTCCTTAGTCTCGACTTCCTTCCGAAGATCGTCTCTACACACAATGCACAACTGTGTTTCTTCATTTGGCGCTGCCACGCCGCTAAAATTCCTCTCCTTCAAATATCCATCAATAGTTTTATCGGACAAATCATCATTATGCTGACGAGGATCTTCTTCGAGAATTAAATTCAGCTCGTACATTAGATTCTCAATCATATTTGAAAACACGACTCTTATGAGACAAATTATCGCGGAGAACAGGGCCTGTTCATTTGCCGGCGTCCAATCAGCGCTAAATCCACCTCGACTGTCTCTCAGATACGCAATCTCCTCTTCGATCGCAAAATGAATGGCGTCAATCAAATCATCTCTTGTAAGAGCCGAATCTCTTTCGCTGTTGTTAATGAGGACTATTTCTCGTACTATTCTATCACGAATCCTGTCCGAATCATATGATTCATATCTTCTGCCCATCAGATACTCGAAAAGATTCGAAGCCGTCGACATCTCTTGATCGTTGTTAATTTCCATGGTTGTATTTTTGTTATGCTTTTCGGTTTTCTTGACGAAGGTATTGTAAGAGTTTTCAACTAGGTAAACGCAGGATATTATATCTTATATATATATATGATTGTACCAATCTTCCACATGAATTGTCTTTTATGCCCTTCTGGCAAAATGACTTCTTAGCCCTTCACATCACCCACCCTTTCTTTGTCCTGCTGCAACCGCTGTGCCAATGGCGTGTTATCCAAACGACTCTCTTGTGTCTCCTCCTTGTCCAATCGATTCTTCATCGACAAAATCGTGTTTTCCAGTCGATTCCTAATCTCCTGCGTTACTTTCGAGCGAGAGGAGGAGAATCTCACGGACGAGAACGTCAGGGATACTCATTCAGTCGAAGTGGCCCTCGGCTCATGTATACATCACCACCATAAGGTTTACATCAACTGTTGGGCTGCTCGGATCGATTCGTACCTTGGAGATCCAATTCAGGGTTTTGTTTTTTTTTGTTCGGATAGATTATTTGTTTTCGGGGTGCTTTTTTGCCTTCTCAAAACTGTTTTATGTTTTTATTTTTCTGATATATGTTTGCGATGATGGACTGATTGGAATCTTACTTTGTGTTGAGTTTGTTTGTTGACTTGAGATAATTAGCTTTCTGAATATGAGAGTGTTGTTTCAGGTGGCTTGGTAAGCGTTTTCAATTTTATTAGATGGATTTTGTCGTATTTTATAACTTATATTTATTTATTTATTTATATCGAATTTTGGTATTATTTATGTTAATTTACTCTAATAATTGTATTTATTTTATTATAATGTTAATTTATTAGTTTTTAGGTATAATTTATAATTATTTTGGTGTATAATTTAAATTAATTGATGTATTTTTTGAATTATATTATTAAGCATTATTTATGTGATATTTAAGTATTTAATTTTGGCTAAATTAATTTTATTTATTATTTATTTAAATAAATATTTATAAGGTATTTATTATATAGGTGAAATAATGTTTGAAAACTGGTTCGAGAGTTCAAAATTGGCTTTAAAAAGCGAAAACATGGCTTCAGGAGCAAAAAAACAGTCACCGGCGCAAAGTTAACAAAAGTCGACGGTCAATAAAAGTCAATGCGCAAAAGTCAAAGTCAACCGATGCGCGGAATTCAAGCGGCAGCCGCACAGAAAGCAAGCGAGAACGGAAAGTGCGCGGCGACTGTATAGGAGTGCGCGAGCGCGGAAAGCAAGCGGCAGCTGCATTTATGAATGCAGAAAGCGATGGCGGTTGCGCGGAAATGTGAGCAGAGCAAAAATCTATGCATGAAAGTGAGCGATAGCGGCTATGCGGAAAACAAGCGGCAGCTGCATTTACTCTAGCCACCTGAATTAAATCCGCTCAACATCTTTCAGCTCCTGCATTTATTCTAGTCACCTTACATTTATTCTTGCACTCTCAATTGAGTGTAATTCCTGATTAATATATGAAGAAAAAAAGAAAAAAAAATTGTATTTAACTCATCTGGTATTTTAAAAACTATAAAAAAGTTTTCAAAACCGAAATTTAAATCTACATAAATTCCTAAAATTTTTAAAATCTAATAAAATTGAGTAAAATCCAATTGAATACATCTTTTAATCTTATTAATTTATGTCACTAAAGTATCACTATATCAAAATTTTAAATTCCTAAACTACCCATTAATATTAACCACAATTAAAATTTAGGAGTAATCTACAAAATTTCAATATGTTGTAAAATCTTATAAAAAGAATGGACTAGCAAGATACCAGTAACCATATGAATCCCAAAAAGATTATTGGATACTTTAAAAAATCTTAACTAATATCATAACAAACTTATCTGAACTTTATGATCAGATATGATATGTGATATGTTTATTAAACATCCCGCAAAAAAAAAAAAACTCTATATATATATATATATATTCTACGTTTACCTCGTTGAATACTCTTACAAAACTTTGGTCAAGAAAAACGAAAAGCATAACAAAGTACAACCATGGAAATTCTCGGAATCGAATTCAGAACAACAACTAAGCATGTCGAAAAGGCTCCCACGTACTTAGCTACGTTGAACTACCCAGAATCTGTTTGTAACACGAAACAGGGTTGAAATAGTCGATTCTTCTATCGTCCTTCCGCAACCTTGTCGAAATCTAACTTGAACAAAATCGAACATGGAATTTTTTGGTGAATGTGAGAGGGAGAAATATGATAGGAATTCTACTAGCTTAAATAATATGTTGGGAATTAAAAGAAAAAGGGGGAGAAAATCAGTTTGTTCGCGATACAAAATCAAAAATCTCGTATTATTAAACTAGATAAAAATATAGGAGAAAATAAATCGAGAAAATGGAGTGTATGAAATGTATATTATTGTGTATATATGGTGTGTATGTGAGTAATTAGAGGAGATATTTATAGGGGGAAAGCTAAGCTTTTAGAAGCTTCGTTGTTACAACCGCCCATAAATAACTACTTCAAAAAATAACCATAAATAGTTATCTCTAAGAATAGTTACTAACTACCTCTAAAAATAGTTATTAACTACCTCTAAAAATAATCATAAATAACTACCTCTAAAAGTAGCAACTAATATAACTACTAATAACTTACTAAAAAACTACCTATTTTCTAGAAGGTTTTAAAAAAAATATTACACAAAAATAGCCAAAAATTGGCTAAGTGATGATGCAAGAATTAAATATGAGAGTGCAAGAATAAATGTAAGGTGACTAGAATAAATGCAGGAGCTGAAAGATGTTGAGCGGATTTAATTCAGGTGGCTAGAGTAAATGCAGCTGCCGCTTGTTTTCCGCATAGCCGCTATCGCTCACTTTCATGCATAGATTTTTGCTCTGCTCACATTTCCGCGCAACCGCCATCGCTTTCTGCATTCATAAATGCAGCTGCCGCTTGCTTTCCGCGCTCGCGCACTCCTATACAGTCGCCGCGCACTTTCCGTTCTCGCTTGCTTTCTGTGCGGCTGCCGCTTGAATTCCGCGCATCGGTTGACTTTGACTTTTGCGCATTGACTTTTATTGACCGTCGACTTTTGTTAACTTTGCGCCGGTGACTGTTTTTTTGCTCCTGAAGCCATGTTTTCGCTTTTTAAAGCCAATTTTGAACTCTCGAACCAGTTTTCAAACATTATTTCACCTATATAATAAATACCTTATAAATATTTATTTAAATAAATAATAAATAAAATTAATTTAGCCAAAATTAAATACTTAAATATCACATAAATAATGCTTAATAATATAATTCAAAAAATACATCAATTAATTTAAATTATACACCAAAATAATTATAAATTATACCTAAAAACTAATAAATTAACATTATAATAAAATAAATACAATTATTAGAGTAAATTAACATAAATAATACCAAAATTCGATATAAATAAATAAATAAATATAAGTTATAAAATACGACAAAATCCATCTAATAAAATTGAAAACGCTTACCAAGCCACCTGAAACAACACTCTCATATTCAGAAAGCTAATTATCTCAAGTCAACAAACAAACTCAACACAAAGTAAGATTCCAATCAGTCCATCATCGCAAACATATATCAGAAAAATAAAAACATAAAACAGTTTTGAGAAGGCAAAAAAGCACCCCGAAAACAAATAATCTATCCGAACAAAAAAAAACAAAACCCTGAATTGGATCTCCAAGGTACGAATCGATCCGAGCAGCCCAACAGTTGATGTAAACCTTATGGTGGTGATGTATACATGAGCCGAGGGCCACTTCGACTGAATGAGTATCCCTGACGTTCTCGTCCGTGAGATTCTCCTCCTCTCGCTCGAAAGTAACGCAGGAGATTAGGAATCGACTGGAAAACACGATTTTGTCGATGAAGAATCGATTGGACAAGGAGGAGACACAAGAGAGTCGTTTGGATAACACGCCATTGGCACAGCGGTTGCAGCAGGACAAAGAAAGGGTGGGTGATGTGAAGGGCTAAGAAGTCATTTTGCCAGAAGGGCATAAAAGACAATTCATGTGGAAGATTGGTACAATCATATATATATATAAGATATAATATCCTGCGTTTACCTAGTTGAAAACTCTTACAATACCTTCGTCAAGAAAACCGAAAAGCATAACAAAAATACAACCATGGAAATTAACAACGATCAAGAGATGTCGACGGCTTCGAATCTTTTCGAGTATCTGATGGGCAGAAGATATGAATCATATGATTCGGACAGGATTCGTGATAGAATAGTACGAGAAATAGTCCTCATTAACAACAGCGAAAGAGATTCGGCTCTTACAAGAGATGATTTGATTGACGCCATTCATTTTGCGATCGAAGAGGAGATTGCGTATCTGAGAGACAGTCGAGGTGGATTTAGCGCTGATTGGACGCCGGCAAATGAACAGGCCCTGTTCTCCGCGATAATTTGTCTCATAAGAGTCGTGTTTTCAAATATGATTGAGAATCTAATGTACGAGCTGAATTTAATTCTCGAAGAAGATCCTCGTCAGCATAATGATGATTTGTCCGATAAAACTATTGATGGATATTTGAAGGAGAGGAATTTTAGCGGCGTGGCAGCGCCAAATGAAGAAACACAGTTGTGCATTGTGTGTAGAGACGATCTTCGGAAGGAAGTCGAGACTAAGGAGATCGCACGGCTTGAATGTGGACACTTGTATCATGTCTATTGCATAAAAAAGTGGCTTCGACTCAAGAATACTTGCCCGCTCTGCAGAGCTATTTGTGTGAATTTGTAAATATTAGTAAAACAATTTGTTTATTCATTTTGTATATATATTTTTTAATGGTATTGGTTGAGCTAATTAAATGAACAAAAATCAAATCTCGATGGGTTATAATCCAATCCCAAATCTCTTGCTATTATATCATAAAATTTTTGCAATTTCTTTTGTTTTCTTTAAATTCATATCGCATTTTTTACCTCTTCACTGTACTGTTTTAAATATAATTTAAAAAAAATAAAAATAAAAGCAAAATTATGAAAA